AACTATCATACCTGAAGAAATTTTGTTATTGTCTATTTCCATATTGTCCTTGTGAACTGTTTGGATTGATAGATATTATTAAGGTTGATTTAGATCTTTTAATCCCAGATGCTAATATCATTAGCAACAACGTCCAATAATTCATGGCATTTTCTATGATTTTGAAAGTTCGTGATTTTTCTCTAATAGAAGTTTGTACTAGTGGCAAATTTGTGGAATTTATGTTATGTTTATTCAGGGTATTCGCAAAATCATCATTCTCTTCACGTTTCTAATCTTCTCCACTAATTTTCAGGAAAGGTTGTGCCTACAAATTGCTTCTCGCCGCATTTGTTTCTATAACTACTTCCTTCTGTCTATTTGGATTGCCATGGCTCGCATCGTGCAGACCTTGCCCTATCAACACATCCGAAGCATGCCCGTCAATAGGCAGATCAGGCAATTTCAAGAAGTTCCAATGCGCTCCTGATCACTACAATGATCTCGCCAGCTTATTTTTCAACACCAACGATGACACAATCAGAAATTTATACAGTGGGGGCACGGATAATGCTTTCAGCAAATACTCGATCCTTATCTTCTTTGCTACCTCTTTTTTTCTCGGGATATTTAGCTATGGCCTTGTCGTGCCTTCCGGTCTCTTTGTGCCTGTTATCTTGACTGGTGCAGCATATGGACGCCTTGTTGCATTGCTGGTGGGTTCGCATTCAACACTTGATCATGGCTTATTTGCTGTTCTTGGATCTGCTTCGTTTCTAGGAGGTTCGATGAGAATGACCGTGTCAGTGTGTGTCATTTTATTAGAACTGACGAATAATCTAGTATTGCTTCCTCTCGTTATGTTAGTTCTGCTCGTATCGAAAGCTGTTGCTGATGTGCTTAATTCGAATATATATGATATAATTGTGAAACTGAAAGGGTTTCCCTTTCTAGAAGGCTACGGTGAGCCCTACATGAGGCAGCTCACAGTGAGTGATGTCGTGACTGGTCCTCTGCAATTTTTTCGAGGGGTGGAGAGAGTTGGCAACATAGTCCATGTTTTGAAGACAACGGGTCATAACGGGTTTCCCGTTATTGATGAACCTCCGTTCTCCGATTCCCCATTGCTTTATGGGCTTATTCTTCGCGCGCACCTTCTTGTCTTATTGAAGAGGAGACAATTTCTACCTAATTGCTCGCTTGCCAGTTCTGATGCCTCTAGGTTATTTTCGCCCTTGGATTTTGCCAAGCGAGGGTCTGGTAAAGGTGACGATATTTGTGATATTCATCTTACTCCTCAAGAGATGAACATGTTTATCGATTTACATCCTTTTTCAAACACTTCGCCATATACTGTGGTGGAGACAATGTCTCTGGCGAAAGCTCTTATTCTTTTTCGAGAAGTTGGCCTGAGACATCTCTTGGTTATTCCAAAATGCTCCTCGGTGAGTACTCTCGATTTATGCTTTACGAATGATGGGGGAAATGATTATGAAACCTCTTTAAAGTCCGGTCACTTATTAGGAAACACCTAACGTTATCTTTTTGTTACACTTACACCCGTCGTTAAAAAAACATCTAAAACTTGTATATTTTCCAAAACTACCCCCTTCTTCCTCTTAACATATTTCTACTCTCTCTCATTTAAGTTTTCTCTACAAGACAGAAAGATATATCGGAGAACAGAAAACTACATCAAATAGAGACTAAAACTAGAGGTATCGAAGAGTTTACCTTGATCTTTCATTTCTTTCACAGAAGTCATTGCTTGGGCTTGATTGTTGTCAAGAGAGGGGAGATGAGGTTTTGCAATAATCCGAGAAAGAAGAGTACAGTTTTTAGAGAGAAAGACAGAAACCAAAATGAGTTTTAATAGTTCTTTTTAACGCTAGAGGTTTTCGTAATGGAAAATAACCTCAGGGGTTCTCCTGAAAAATGGTGAAGCTTGAGGATTGTTTCATAGTAATTACCCCAAATAAGATTGTAATTACTCTAAATAGTAAATACTCATGACTAATTTATGTGTCATTTGATCTACAGAGGTCACCGGTGGCTGGGCTACTGACAAGGCATGATTTTACGCCGGAGCATATACTGAGGTTGCATCCAACGCTGACAGAGATCAAATGGAAGAGGAAAAAATTGTTTCGGTTTTACTTTCGATAAAATATTTAACGAAATATTTATTATTATTATTATTATTATTATTTGGCCGGAACTTTGCACAGGTCCTGGGCAGACCTGATTGTTTATTTATAGAAACCCTGTATAAGAAAGATACTTCCAGTATTCGAAGGACATCACCTTCTTCCTCATATGTGGGAAGCGCAACCTATCATCAAACAAAGCGAGCCTGACGTTTTCAGGAAGATCGAAAAGAGGAGAGAAATATGTAGCTAGATTTGCTGCGAGTCTGTCTGCTGCCGGATTTGCATCCCTGTAAATGCGTTTGATGCGAAAAGCCAGGCCCTTTTGAGGAGTTTGTTGTAACATTTGTTGTAAATACTCTTGGGTGATAATTTTTGTGATTTGTTCTTTAGACACTGAATAATGATCTAAAATCTTTATCGTTTTTTTTTTCCGATACATTTTTGTGCATCCAGAAAACATTGTTGCTTTGAGCTCTCTTTACGTAGGTATAGGTATGCGTATGGAAGGATGACAATAAAGAACCTTATGCTTTGTTTGGGAGTTCACCAAGGGAAGAGACGGAAAGTTAAATAACGGAAAAGAAAGGTAGGGAATGTAAGTGAAAAGATAAAATGCTGTTTGGGAGTTTAGTAGAGGGAACGGAAGTAAATTTGTTTTACCTTGTTCGGGAGTTCTAATAAAGAGGAGGTAAGTGAAGTGCATAACTGCATATGTATAAAGTTACATAAATACCCTTACATATTGGATGAGAGTATATCTTAGCCATTAATTTTAATGTCATAAGGATATAATTATCTTATCACATTGTAAAAATTTACATTCGTTTTCATTCCGACCTCTACCTCCCCCCACTTTAACTTCCGTCCGTTGACCTCCATCCAAACAAGGTATTATTCATTTCTTTTTTGAGACATGGAGCGGGCAATGCTATTATTGTTTTTAGACCAAAAGATTTTAATTTAAAAATAATGTAAACACGATAATAAGTAACAGTTTAAATAATAATTATTTATAACTATCTTCAGGAGAAATTTGTTTCTTCATCTAGGAGAGAACTAAAAGTTTCAATTAACCCGATTCTTTCTGAAGTTAAGTTTGAAATAATTTAACTAAACAAAGTGCTAAAAAGAATTCTAATTTATAATAAAATTGGTATTCATCATTAGCTCATCAAACTTTCAACATGCTTTTTTTCAAAAGAACTTTCAGCATGTTAGTTAAAATTAATATCAAAATTACGGGATTAAATTAAATTTCCCCAAAAAATACGAAAAACGAATCCTTGTAAGCTTAAATGATATCAATAGGAAGTTATGATATGACAAAATTGGATGTCCTCCAACTGAACTCCAACTTACCCAAGATATGATACAATCAAAGCTCAAGATTCCAAACCTACTGACCCGTTACGCCAAATTATCCACTAAACTAATTCTAGCAACAATAAGGAAATTTTGCATCACATGCATCAATTCTTCCAAAGTCAAGGGACAATAATTCTTGGTACTAAATCTTTAACACGTATCATATCAAAGCTACTACAGAGGTTCAAGCTCTCTTCTATATATATGGCTCCACAGTGGAGTCTACATCTCAATGGCTTCCTCCATCAAAATGCCAAGCAAGAGTTGTGTTTCTTCCTCCTTCATCCCCTTCATTGTTCTCTTGCTTCTTCTTCTCGTGTCTTTCGCCGTATTAGATCAGCATCACTTTAATGGATTCCAGAGAATCTTCAAAGCTCTTGACCATGACGAACATATTGATAGACTCTCAGAAGAACCAGTAAGTACGTAGAATTTGATAATTCTTGACTGTACATAGTTTTAATTGGCATGTACTATGTTTTTAGCTAGTTTTTAAACTCCTACGCAGATCATGTGGTGGTCAAAATTAGACATTTACGAGAGTTTAAAAACTAGTGAAAAATAGCGACCAGGGGATGTACGTGCTAATAAAATAGTGCTGGACGAATAAGTAGCATTTATAATACAGACAATGCATATGCAATTAACCATTAGCTATATGTTGTTTTTTTTGTTTTTGTTTTTTGTTTTTGGTGTTATTGGTTAAGGTAGGTGAAATTTGGGAAGATTGAAGATGGGCTTGCAAGGGCTAGAGCTTCAATTAGACGTGCAGCTATTTCATCAAGAGAATTTGGGGGAAGCATTAAAGAGGAGGATTTTGTTCCTAGTGGTGATGTTTATCACAATGCTAAAGCCTTTTATCAGTGAAGTATCTAGTCTCTATTATTTGAGATTGAAATACAAGTTAATATTCAGTACTTTATAAGATTCATAGGAATCAAGATTATGCTGAACTATATAACTTACCTATGTGTTGAAACTTAGCTAGCATTAACATTTTTTCCCTTCTGAAACATTATAGGTTCCAAGCTTTTCCTATAATGCTAGCTAAGCTAAACAAGAATATGCCAAGAATTAACATTTATTTCAAATTTGATAGTCTAGCTAGAAAAATTATTTAAAAAGTTCCACAAGGACAAACCACTAACGATCGAATTTGAGAAATTTACTAATCGATATATTAAATTAAAATGAATATTTTACGTTTTTTTGTTTTTAATTTATTACGAACATGCTCTTATTTTCAGGAGCTACATTGAAATGGAAAAAAGATTAAAGATCTGGACCTACGCCGAAGGTGAGCTCCCTATAATCCACGGTGGGCCGAAAGCCGACATATACTCCATTGAAGGCCAGTTCATCGACGAAATGGAGGACGAACGCAACCCGTTTAGGGCCCGTCGGCCTGACGAGGCCCATGTCTTCTTCCTCCCCATCAGCGTGGCCAACATGGTCAAGTACTTCTACAGGCCCAATATGACTGACTATCATGGGCCCATGAAGAGGATAACTGCAGACTATATCAATATCATTTCCAATAAATATGAATATTGGAACAGGAGTCTTGGTGCTGATCACTTCATGGTTTCTTGCCATGACTGGGTAAGTTCAGCAAGTATGTTTGTTAAATTTAAAAATTATTTATTTTTTGTTAGATTTATAATTATAGGATGAGAGACTGACATTAAAGAATATATATATAATATTATATAATATATTATTATATATATTATATTATATATATATATATATATATATTAATTATATATATATATATAATATATATAAAAATAAATGGGAGACTCAAGATTCACTATTCATACTACATTCGTTTCGTTAGGCACCGTACGTTTCAAAAGCAGACCCGCGCCTCTACGCCAACTCAATCCGAGCGATGTGCAACGCCAAACACCTCGAAGGCTTCAAGCCCGGGACCGAGCGTAACCCTCCCGGAAGTCCACCTCCGCGACGCCGCCTCTCGCTCCCCGCGGCAGCCCCCAGCTCCCCTCCGGAACACCGCCCGTCCTCGCCTTCTTTCGCGGCGGGTCCCACGGCCACATCCGGGAGGTCTCCTCAAACATGGAAAGGGAAAGACGGCGACGTCCTGGTTTACGAGTACCTCCCGAGGGGCCTGAGCTACGACGATCTCATGAGGAAGGCCAGGTACTGCCTGTGCCCGAGCGGGTACGAAGTGGCGAGCCCAAGAATCGTGGAGGCCATATTCGCCGGCTGCGTGCCAGTCATAATCTCCGAGGGCTACCCCCTTCCGTTCAGCGACGTGTTGGATTGGAGCAAGTTCTCGGTGGAGATAGCGGTGGAGAACGTGACGGAGATCAAGAACATACTGCGGGGGATCTCGGAGCGGGGTTACGAGGAGCTGAGGGGGAGGGTTTTGGAGGTTCAGAGGCATTTTGTGCTGCATAGGCCGGCCAAGAGGTTCGATGTCGTTCACATGGTGCTGCATTCTATATGGTTGAGGAGGTTGAATCTTAGGCTTGGTTATTGAGGAGTTGGTATATATAATATATGTGGAAAATCTCTTTCCATGAAATATACGCAAGTTTATATAGGTTTTGTTGTTGTGTTTGCTATATATGTTGACGTTTTCTTTGTGTTAAGAATGATTATGTATTATTTGGTTCCTAGCTACAAGCTGAGATAAGCATTACCTACATGCTGAGATATATAAGCTTGTTTGACTACAAATTTCAGGCGAAAGTTCGCAAAACCCCTAAAATTGTTTGGGGCATTTCGCGCGAAACCTCCTTGAACTTTATTTTGTCCGCTACGCTCTAAAATTTCATGGGACGAGGTTTGGCAGTGAGGTAATTAAGACTAGCATGATCTTGAAAACCACTGTTTTATTAAAACTGCTATTCTTTAAAAATTACCATCGTAGTGGAATCCTATGTGGTCTCATCTCGTCTCTTGAATCAGAATATACGGCAATGATAGGAGGAATTGGAGACCCTCTAATTACAACTGTTGGAGATCGAGGATCCAAATCTGAAACTAACACTACCACATAAGGGTATGTAATATGTTGGCCAAGTGTATTTTGGTAAGTTTGCATCGAACCCTGAAACGATGTTGGGTGTAGGTTAATGGAATAAGTAAAATTCAGGGGAGTTGTTGGTAATGCATGCCTCAAGGTTAAACCCCCAATAGCTTTTAAAGCCGCACTAAACCTCCAATAACTTTTGGAATAGCAAAAAGAAAAGCCCTAATTAGGTCCCATGGTTTGCAGATAACCTCATAAATCAGAACCAAAAAACAACATAAGACATTAAGGGTTTTTTTTGCAAAAGATGTTGGGGGGGTTCAGTGCAACTTTGAAAGTTATTAAGGGTTTTATGCAAAATGCTGAAAGTTTTTTTTTTTCGGGTTTTGTGTAATTTATCCTCCGAAATTTACCCTCAATTTTATGACTGCATGCTTACGATATTAGTTGGCAGGAGCAGGTGTCATGCTATTTTTTCCTTCTACAGGACTTAGAATTGAGAGCACATTGCAAAATAGTCTGGTTTATTGATTAACAAAAAAAAAAAATTTAATATTTTGACATAGATCAGATTTTTCATAATATCTTACCAAAGCTTGCTCTGTAGTCAACTGAGCAAGTTCTCTACTAAAGAAGGTAGATGCTTACCTCAATTTCTTGTTGTTTCAGTACCAATGCGTACATAGGATCAAGAATTGGTGACATGCACATCAACTCTCTGTATATGTAGTTGGATTTTGACGTTGATTAGATATTAGGTAAACTGTCACGCACCCTTATTATGCAAGTGTTGATAATTTATGAAGAAAGCTTTGAGAGAACTTGATTGTTATTTATTCTATTGAGGCATTTAAATATAGGAAAATAGAAAAGTTTTGATAACCTAGGCAACGTGGAACTAAAACAAAACGAGAGAAAATAGCCTAACTACTACACTTAACACCAGGGCCGGCCTTGCCCTTAGGTAGTCAAGGCCTCTGCCTTGGGCCTCATCCTGGGTAGGGCCCAGTCGGGAGAGCTCAGCTTGGTGGTTGATCAAGCTCTCACTGGACAGAGGATGGAGCATGCAGACGTTAGATTCGCGGCGGCGGAGTTAGTAGAGGGTTGGCGATGGGATCGAGCTCGAGAGGTTAAGATGGAAGCTGTGGCGGCAGGTTGTTGCGAGTTTGGAACGGGAACAAGGCGACATGTGACTCTTCACGTGAGCTTGAGAGATATGCGCGGATTTCATGTGGGCCCCACCTCCGCCCTAATTTTGCGTGAGTGAAGGTGAGGCCGAGGCCCGTGAGAAATTGGATGTGTGGTTAGGATTTGGTGAAGTTGTTGATCAAGGGTTCTAACGTCGTGACAAATTATAAATATAGAGAGATTAAAGAGATATTGTCCATACACGGTATTGAGAAGTTTATGTACAAAAGCAATGAGAAAATGTTCTAGTATTATAAGTGGGACAAAAATAAAAGAAAACAAATAGCCTAACTATATTATTTAATAGTAGCCTAACTATATTATTTAATAGTTTGACAAAGTAAGAGACCAATATATTGTTTATGATTTTATAAATTCTTGCATATCATTTAGCGTCTCACCACCAAGTAAATTTTTATGGTCATTTTGACAATAATGATGAATTATAATCTATTATGTTGCCAAATACTTTATATTGACTATACCTGTAACAGTTGCTTCCGCTGAAAGAAGTTTTTCAAAATTAAACTTACTAAAATCTTATTTAAGATCAACCATGTTACAAGATAGATTGAATGGTTTAGCAATATTATCTATCGAAAATAATATGTTAGAAAATATTGAACATAAAACTTTAATTAGTAATTTTGCAGCTCAAAAAGTAAGAAGAAAGAGATAAAATATATTATGAGTTGTATCACTCAGGCCTCATTTAATATTTCGCTTTGGCCCTGAAATTCCTAGGTACGGCCCTGCTTAACACCCTCTATCAAACTGTATTTGGGTTCCAAAGAATGGGTGCACGATGCTGTCCGGTGAGGGCTTGAACAGGGACAATGAGAGAGTGGCTGTCTGGTGAGAGCTTGGACAAGGAAAGCATGGCCACGGGTACTGGCCAAGGGAAGCTTGGATGGAGAGAGCTTGGCCTATATGGTGCTTGGTGTTAGGGAATTTTAGTCTCCCCGCCTACTACAATTTGCGCAACTTGGAAGCCAACCCACAATTAATAAGATATAAAACAATCACAATTGATGCGGCATAAACATGTACCAAAAAGGTTGCAAGTGCACAACCGTGTCAAGTTATAGTATTTAAGATATCGATCCCACCGAGCGCAAGGTTGTTTTGCTAGCGAGAAAATATAAAACGGCTTCTTATGTTTGTGTGTGTGACAAGGTAGGAGCTGATAATGTTGAATGTGAATTGCTGGACGAGCATCAGTGTGTTTAAATCGGCACGAGATATAATGTGAGAGTGGATCGCTGATCAAAGATATGAATATGCATCAATAGGCCCAAAAGCGGAAAAGCCGAAAATAAAAATCAACAAGCAAATAAAGAAAATAAAATTCAAGCAATAAAGGAAAAATGCAAGAAATTTAAAGATGGTGCATTTTCCAATTATAGATATGGCGTAATTCTACAATTGAACCCACTTCTTTTTAGAACAAGGGTGATTCCCTAGAGGCCGTTTTCTAGCCTAAAGGCCGAATCAAACAAAATAAAAATAAACAAAAAGAAAAACTAAACCCAAGAGGTTCTTAGCCTCAAGGCCTGAATTAGCTTATAAGAAATTAAAATTCTAACTACAAAATAAAAGTGCAAAAATCTAAACTACAAAATAAAAATTGCCAAGAATTAAATGCAAGAAAATTATTAAATGCTATTCTATAAGCAATGAAAATAAATCTAAAGGTAAGCAGGGTCTAGCCTCTTGGCTAATTTAACAAGAAATAACAATCTAAAACTACACAGCATAGAAATAAATCTACACTAATAATGCAATAAAAAGGAAATTAAAATAGAAAAAAATAAAAAAAAAAAAAATGCCGAAAGAAAATGCAAAACCTCTAAAATAATTCTTCATCTCCATCTTCATCATCCAACAAAGAGAAGAAATATTTAAAGTTGCCGTGAAATAAATTATTATTATTAAATTGCCAAGCTAAAGCTGGTTTACAATTTTGACAGCCTTTCTCAATTAATGAGTAGCCCTCCTCTCCAAAAGGAGTTTACAAAATTTTTTCACACCTCTAACCCCTCACTCTCTACCCCCCCATATTTATATAAACACAGCGTGAATTGAGAGCCATGCGATTCAAATCTCTATCCAAAACCAATAAAAATAGCCATTGCGATTGCTAACTTGCCTGGACGTCCGCTATCGCATTACCCGCGCCATCGC